CTATCAAGTATAAAGTAGTATAAAGTGTCTATAAAGTATAAAGTAGTGTAGCGTATCTATAAAGTATAAAGTGTCTATAAAGTATAAAGTAGTATATTTATAAAGTATCTATAAAGTATAAAGTAGTATAAAGTATCTATTCAATTCAATTCAGTTCATCTATCAAGTAGTGTAAAGTATCTATAAAGTAGTATAAAGTATAAAGTATCTATAAAGTATAAAATAGTATAAAGAATCTATAAAGTATAAAGTAGTAAAGTATAAAGTAGTATAAAGTATCTATTCAATTCAGTTTATCTATCAAGTATAAAGTAGTATGAAGTATCTATAAAATATTTAACTGAAATGCTTGTTGCAACTTATGATACAAAAAAAATCTAAACAATTGTGAACCATAAAAAATCTCAACAAAATTAATAAATTATGAGTTCAAAAATTGTTTCCAAAGGGGAAAAAAAACGAACTCAAATAAATAAATTGTTCTGGTTTCAGCTACAAAATATTAAACTTAAACTAGAAAGATCCTGGACAAACTTTAACGGGACTGCCAGGTTGCTGACAAGTTCAATTATTGATTTGACTGCACGATGTGTTTGGGTTCGCTCTCAGCTACCACTATACCAAATTTCAGCGGAATAGCTATAAAAATGGCTGAGTTATCGTATTTTTTCCCCATATGGCTAAGGTGGCCATCTTGGATTTTTGATTTGCCTCCAGTATGTGATAAGAAACATTCTCAGCTATCACCACATTAAATTTTAGCTCAAAATCTCTAAAATTAGCTGATTTATAGTATTTTTCCTTTTTTAGCTCAGGCGGCCATCTTGGTATTTTAATTTACTTTAGGAACGAATGAAAACTCGCTCTCAGCTACGACCAGAGCAAATTTCAGTTCAGCATCTCAAAGAACGACCGAGTTATAGCAGAAGCAGCTGAGGTCTGTCAGGCATTTTGAATGGGAAATATGGTGTCTTTGTTTGCAAATTACGTTGCCATGGTAACTCGAAACGTCAATAAAAGTAATAGCGCACATCACGATGCCGAGCCGGTCGTTTTGATATAACATTTGTGGGGGTACACATTGAGGTTCGGGCCGCATTAAAGTTGACGGAAGACTAAGATATAAAGTCAAGAAACCCTGAGTCAGGTGGATAATAACAGGTGGCTGTCCCCAGTAATATATTTATGTCTATTGATTGATATGTTGTTGTTTTTTGGGAAAAAATAAATAAAAATAACATCTTCCTTGAGAAAAGTGAATTCTGTGTTTTAAATCATAAATTTAATCCAACATTATCTAAATAATATACATGTATTTTTATCCAGTATACTTCACCTGTCTGTGAGGATTTTAAGCCTTTATTAAATAAAACAACAAACGTGATAAAAACAAGATTTGCAAAAAGAGAAAGAGGTCATATACACAGACCTGGAGCTGAAGGAGCTCCTCTACCTGCTCTCTCACTGCTTCATGGCTGAAACAAAAGAAATCTTTTGGTTATTTTAATTAGTTAAAATTAAACAAATAAGTAATGAGCAGTTTGTGTTTGGGATCTTGTAATAATAATACACAAGACGTGACAGTTGAAACATGAGTGGACCAGTAAATCGAGAGCTTTTTTCTTTCAGCTCAGCTCCCTCCTCACCAAAACAGACCGGAGCAACACCTTTATTTTGTCATGTTTTCCCCCCACGTTTTGTCATTATGAAAAATGTGTGTGCACCAAACTTACCGATAAGACTTCTTCCAAACCTCCTCTGCTTCAGTCCTTGTCTTCACTCCCACGCTGCTCAGAAACGGCACGTTTGTGCAGATTAAACGTCAACGCAAACAGCGAGGATTTATTAATTTGTGTGATTTTTATTCACCTTTTGTAAAAGTCTGCTCCAGCTGTGACCAGGCCAAATAAAGTGGTGATCTTATGAGGTACAAAAGTCTTCAGGGAGGCTGCAGGAGAACAAGAGGTCTTTGTTAAGGGTCAGGTTGGTTTATGTTGGCAAAAAGCATGACAGGGATTAGATTACACCAGATTTTAATCCAAAGATTGACAACACTGATCTGCTGAAACATTTCTCACATGCTGTGGCTTTGTGTTCAGATTAAGAAACATTAAAGTGTCACTAACTGCGACACTGAGTCACTTTATTTACCTTCAATGAAACATAATATTTCGCTGGTATTCTACTTTTACTTCACATAATGTGACGCATTGAAAACAATATTTAAACTAGAGGAAAACATCCAATTAATTTACACTAAAGCGTTCAAACGTGGTTTGTTTGAATCTTCGTCTTACCTGCTGCTTCCTGTTTGGCGTTCTGCAGCAAAACTTTGCCCAAACTGACCAATAAACTCAAACTACTTGTCAAAGTTTCTTCTGAGACAGTCGCAACCTCCGCCATGGTCACCTGTTCTGACCAACTGACAGAACCAGCGTTGTTCCCCAGAGAACCGCCTGGACCAATCAGAATCAGGGAAGAGCGTCACGTGACGCAGCTTCTTGGCGCTTTAGCACCATCTAGTGGTCAATTGCAAGAACTGCAAGGAAAAGTTTCTTTTGAGATTCTTGAAGTTGGTCATTACTTTAAAAAATCACATTTTAAATATGCCACTTGTATAAAACAAAACAATATATTGGAGTCATAATTATGAGTTATCGTCTCATAATTAGGACGGAACACCTCAAAACTACAACTCCAAAACGTTGACTTAGTATTTCATGATTTATTACAACTTAGTGTCACATTATCATATTACAATAAAAAACTTAGCATCTCATAATAAATAACCCTTAAAATATGACACGCTAAACCATAACTGAGATTTTAAGATGCTATTTTTTTTTTTTTACTATCTTATGAATATAAAAGCAAATCATAATTATGAAACAAACAATTGTAAAATAGTGAGACAATAAACAGCTCATATTTATCACATAATACTTAAATGAGCTGTGAAGTTATAAATATGAGATGCTAAGATGCTAATTAGGATTCAATCTCAAAATTATGACTCTAAAAATAATTCTGACTTATCTCAATTTTATAAGACACATTCCACAAATATGATTTAGCATCTCAAAAATTAATCGTATCTTATGCCAAACACCTCATATTTATGAGATACCATCTGCAAATTTGGACTTAGCATCCCATAACACTTATTATATGCTAAATCATAATTATGAGATGTTAAGATGTTAAAATAACTTGGCATCTTAAAAAGGGTCAAGAAGTTCGTCATTTTGACTTAGCATCTCAGTTAAATTTGTGTAAAGAAATTTAATTCAACTGCTGCGGATTTCAGATAAAACATGCCTCAAAAAAGCGTTCAGTTTTAAGAAGTGTGGCTTCTGTTTTTATTATACATTAAAACATTTAGAGACTGGATTTCAAAACATTTTTCAAACTTTCTTATTCTCTTCCTGTAATTGTTTTTCAAGTTTGTGACTTTAGAGACTCAAATTTGATCTAAAGGACAAAAAAAATAAGATTTTATTTTTGCATATTTAGGTTTTCATAGCTCGTATTTTTGACTCAGCATGTAAAAATATTAACTTTTAACTAAGGAACTCTTTAATCCTAGAGAACTCAAAACTTTGACTTATAAATAAGTTATAACTAGGAGTAATGTGAAACTTTTTCTCATCGCACTAGACAATCAATTTTTATTTCCTGAAAGTAGATTTCAATGAGTTCTTCTGAAAAAACAGAAAACACATCAGAACCAGATGAAATTGCTCAGTTTTATTGAACATTTGTTCAACAGAAAGATTCGTTCCTTCAAGTTTTATAGGGAGTCGTTTCATTTCAAACTCGATGACAAGATGACCCAACAAAGATGAGGTAATATCAAAAGGTTGAACAAAAAAAATAAGAATAAAACAGCTCGGACTGGAAATAAATAGTTTAATTAAAGTTATTTTGACTTCTGGAAACAAAGTTAGATGAAATTAGCCGAGTACAAACTCCTGCAGACCGTAATAACTTTCAGTTCTCATAAGAAGAGAATTAAGGCCCCAAAAATCACAGAAAACTTTCAGAGTCTGGTGCTTTAACTCTCGTGATAATTTACACTCAGGCAGCAGTGGCACAAACAACAATACTGCTTCAGTACCTGACGTGTGTTTTCATGCCGACGCCACAATCCCTAAATAACACCTCTGGAAACTAACATTAAATGTTGTTTAGTGGGAACCACACATTTTCTTTATTCAGACTCTACTGTTGTCGCCCAAAACACCAGGAAAAACATAAACTTGCGTTTTCTTTTGGGTTTGATACGTTCAGCAAGTTTTTACTTAATTTTTCAAAGAAGAACCACCTGAAAGAACGTGATCTGTTCTTCCAAAACACTGGTGTCGTAAAGAACCGGTCAGTTTAAATCCACGAGAGCGTAAATGTTCAAAAACGTGAGAAACGCTGAGAACCGACAGCAAACGCAACTTAAAAATGAAGCCTTTTGAAAATCCCATTTAAAATTAGCCCTTAAAGACCCGCCAGTCAGAGACAGGTAGGACAGTTGAGATAATGGTAGTTATCAGGCAGCTCAGACTTTAGAGTTAAATTATCACAAATATAAAAAGGAAAACCCAAATGCAGTCTTTTTTGCACTATGGAGCGGTTTTGGAGCCAAAGATAAACCCGTCTGCAGATCCTGAAACTAGTTCTACTGAAAGAAACAAGAATTGATCAAATGTTTTCAATTTTTGGGGGAGAAAATGATGTAGGAGCACATAATACAGCCTGGTACGTACCAGGTACCTGGTACTTACAGGGTACGT